CCGGAGGGCGTACAAAGGTTCCGGCAATGGCTGGTAAAAAATGCGGAATTAAAATTATTTCTACCGTACACGACAATGAAACCATTGTAACAGTATTTTATCAAAACGCCGACGGTGATTCGCGAGTTTTATTAGATTGATAAACGCCGGAGTTGGCTTTGGGTAAACGTAGTGTTCCAAGTCCCCAACACCGGAGGGCGTACAAAGGTTCCGTCAATGGTTGGACTTCACATTTTCGTATAAAACGCGCGAATTGAAATTATTTCTGACAACGACACCACTGTGAAAGTATTTTATTCAAACACCGATGGTAAAACAAGTGAAAAATCTGTATATGACGGCCGAAACTACACATAGAACTTCGGTACGTTTACTTCCGGGACGTGGCAATAGCCACATTGTCTCCTGCCACGCCCGTGGCAGTAGCCATATTGTCTCCTGCCACGGGCGTGGCACGAGACACTCCGATTTTTTATATAAGGCATGCCCTTACATTTGTAAATAAAGAAGTAATATGGGCATCGACCAACCATTGGAATTCACACTTTTCGACCAATCAACCAATGGAAAACGTTCTTTTTCGCATAGTGACATCGTGACCCATTCACAGAGTGCAATATTTGACATTCGGCCCCTTCACATACCTGTGTCGCCCCTAGCGACCTTGGAAATCCGTCACATGACAAATTACAACACACACGGGGTTCGAACTCAAGACTATTAAAAATGATAGAAAGAGTGAAAATGTTGTCTTACCAATTACTTGCCTCAACTGTTTTTCGTCTACCAAGGCCTTGATAAAGTCACCTGACCCACATCCTACATCTAGTAAACAGTCTGTACTGTTTATTGGCATTCGTGTCACCACTTCGTTGACGGCTCCTGTGACGTGGGGTTTTCTGTATGTTGAAAAAGAGTGGAATTCCTCTGGATTCATTCTAATATCTATGTTAACACGTGTTTTTTTTTTCTTAAGTTGCAGCAGCCGAATCGAGCGTACTGATAAATGCAATGGTAACTAGAACGGTCGAGGTCATATACAATATAAACTATAGGTCATAGGTTATCTAGGGCGGCACTCGTCGCGCAGGGCTCTAGGGACATTTGTGTTGATTCCTCAGCTCCTGAGAGCGAGGTTATTCCTCAGCTCCTGAGAGCGAGGTTATTTGTAGATATGTTGGCGATCGCCGCTGTGTCTATGGAAGTACTATGGGAGATTGCATGATGGGAGTGAAAAGTCTTTTGATCAGTAAAATAATTTTAGAAAAGTGAAAACTAAAATTACTGTGAAATAAAGGTTGGTTTTAAATATTAAATATCACGGCATTTGGATGTAATAATGAAAGGAAATTGAACTGGTATGAAAGGGCAGTACATGTTCAGGGCTCATACCACTAATTGAATTTCCATAGACGACAATGTTAACATATGACGAGATTGCTATATGAAAATGACGAAGAAAGTTGAAAATATGGCTCAAAAATGGGAAATCAACATGCCAGTAATCAACCATATGAAAAAAACTAACATGTTGGCCAGCTCAAACTCTTGCAAATCTCAGGTAAACAAGACACACCTACTGTATTTGGATTGCACCAAGAGAAATCACTGGAAAAACACCAAGATTAGAACATCCATTAACACACAGAATAAACCCACAGGTACACAGCCGCTAAGTAGTAAACAAAAGACCACATGTTGGTCTCACCTCTGACCCAGGTGATTACGCCCTCAAACAGGGAGCACCTGAGAAAAATAATATTTAAAAAATTTCATTGGTTCTTGCTGGGCATTTAAATTGAGGGCTACGAGCAGCCATTGGTTAATTAGTGGCATGAGACCTTCAGCCAGAACTTCACAATACATCCATCAAAGCGGTTGCAAAGTGTCAACAACTATGGACAAGAGAACTGGTGATGGTTGTGAACCATAACTGCCTCAGCACAAAGGCTGTTGTGTAATACCAGGGAATGTAAAGGGAAATGTATTGTAGTGTTACCTCTGTGTAATTTACAATATATCTGCATTAACCTTCACTATTAAGGACAATATGGGAGTAGAAGCAAGTTAGTTAGAATTACCAGACATTGTGGTATATAAAGAAGTGGCCTATTAACCCATGAAACATACTCGCACATGTACACAATCATAATAACTGGAAATGGTTTCATAACAGAAAAAAAGTGTTATTGCTGTAAATAATTATGAACAATAGAAACTGAAATTTAGAAAAACTATGAACAAAAAATAATGAAAGTCTGTGATTTTCTGCACAATTTCCAGGACATTATTAACCGAACCATAACATTTATAAAAAGCACAGTGCTGAGATTCACTTTGAGTATATCAGAAATATAATCTTACAATTGCATACGAGTCGTCAAAACGTACAGTTTGGTGACATAATTCAAATTTTGTATAGTTCAATATGCATACAACTACCCATGCACTAGTACATTTTGACAATAAACCCCTCTTTCACATTGTGCAAATACAAACAAGACATTAAACCTTCCTGACAGTAACATGTAAGCGTTGTATAAACCCGAATGAAAAGTCTTGAGTCACGGCAAATACTTCTATTGAGTAGGCCATTTAAAAA